AATAATTTTCCTTTAGCTTAGTTCATTATTTATCATCATTGGTCACCACAGCAGAATTAACTTTTGTTTTAAATCAAATGCACAGACCCTGCATTCCTGATCCTTACATCCACTGAGATTATGTGCGTAAAAAAATCTCAGTGACCTTTTATATAACATTAAATTGACAGTTCAGACAAAACTTAAAATTTAGTCTTCGTTTACTGACCTGTTACTTGTTCAAAGCCTGGTTGACTTTCTTCTGTTAAACACAAAATAAAATATTCTGAAGAAAGCCGAAAACCTGTAGGCTCACAACTCCTTTTGTTTTTTCTAGAATGGAGGTCAGTAGGTTTTCAGCTTTTTTCAGAATTTCTTTATATTCAAATATTATAATATCAAATATTTTGAGATTAACAGAAGAAAGAACGTCAGTAATTTGTCAGAGAGTGGACGCAGATCAAAAAAGTTGCCCAATTTCGGTGGAAAACTGAAGACTTGGCAACACTGGCCTGAGCACGCGCAAATGGGTGTAGCTGTCAGTCCCTATGGAAACTAAGCAAACTTCAGGCAAACTCGTAAGCTACAGTTGATTGCGGGACACATTCGTGAGTTTCTTCAGTTCTAATTAATGTTGTATTTTAATATCACTGCGAAATGAAGACAAAAATGATCGTATCCACATCGATGAACGCGGGAGAAGGAACAAGAACTGAGGCTGAAGACACTAGTAAAGGTGTTGCGTCTTTAGCAGGTAACTTTAGTGTCTACATTCATCTTTAAAATAACATTAATCAATACAGACTTAACGTTACCAACATAAACGTATCCATTGCTGCATTATTCAGTTCGAAATATAGTGGAATATTATCGTTAATTTCCACTGTTCTGTATTGGTCTTATTTGCTACTCTGACTAACGTTATTAAGTTAACGTTAGATATTAGCATTACAAAGTAAACAATAGCAACTTTTAAGCATAGAAGAAGAGTTCCAGAGTGCCATCTGAAATTTCCATCGAAAATGAACCTTTTTTTCAGTTCATCCTTTATTTTTTTCATTTATTTCACTTTAAAGACCATAAAAAATAACTAATACTTTGCCATAAAAGTGATATTACTGAACCTACAAACAGGAGCCTGACAAAATTGCTAATTTTTGAGGAAAATTTTAGATGGCATTTAGAAGTTTTTGCATTGAACTCATCATATGTTATCTCATGTTTTCTTGTCAGAAATATTACCTTTAGCAAGCTATTGTCGTACATAAATTGAAAATTAAACGGGTTATTGTTTAATAAATTAAATTAAACTTAAATGAAAATACACGTGTTGGATCTGTTAGGATAGATTTGTTAGACTACTTATTTTAGGTAATGTATTTTTATGACTAAGGTTTATGAGGTTTATAAGATATTTATAAGATATTATATTGATATAAGATATTATATTGTATTTTTACTTTAGGTCAAAGGAAATTGGTTTACCAAATATTAATAATTTTAATATTCTAATTTAAAATAAGGACATAAACAAAGTACACGATTAAATATTCTTAAAGGTTTGAAATATGTTTTTTCCTGTGTCATACATTGTTTAACTGATAGAGAGGTGTATCTGTTCACATATTTAAAAACTTGCATTATTTACAGTGCTATTTGAAAGTGCGTAGCCAAAGCTGAAGGATATGATTTTTTTCCACAGGAAAATATACAAGAGAAAAAGAGTACTGCAGATAAATATATGTACTCCTTTTACCCATTATTTGACAAAAAGGAAAGAAAAATGTAGTCTTATTTTATAGCTTTTCATGTAAAATGCCTAATGGAGAAATATTTTTCCTTTGAAAGATCTGGATTCTCAGAGTGCAGCTGCTGAAGTGTCAGAGAGTGACATAAAGCCTTCAGGCCCCAGGTGATGAAGTGCAGTTTTTTTAATAGTATCCAAATGACATTTGCTCAGATTCAGTTGCTTGAGAATAAAAAATACTGATTTATGTTTCCTGTATCCTCTTCAGAATTACCAAAGACTTCTTAAGGGAGCACTGCAAGAAAAACAAACTGTACCTGACACCAAGGCTGAATGACACACTTTATCTTCACTTTAAAGGTTTGAAATTGCTTAAACAAAAGAGACTAATTTTGCATCTTCATCTTTCTTTTCAACTTTTTTAATGAAACTGTTAATTCTCCATTGTAGGTTTTTCTTGTATAGAGGGTTTGGAAGAATATACTGGCCTGCGCTGCCTATGGCTCGAGTGTAATGGTATTCGAAAGATTGAAAATCTGGAGAATCAGACAGAGCTTCGCTGTCTGTTCCTCCATCAGAATCTCATTCACACTCTGGAAAACCTGGAACCACTCAGCAAGCTTTGCACGCTTAATGTCTCAAACAATTATATCAAGGTCATTGAGAACATTTGTAAGTACTTAACTCATTGTCAAACTTTGGCCCCAGTCTTTCATTCTCATTTATTTACACATTAAGGTTTTGTTTTTCAGCTAGTTTGAGCGACTTGTCCACTCTACAGATCTCTCATAACACACTGGAGAATGTTTGTGACATGGAGGAGCTTTCACACTGTCCATCCATCAGTGTCCTTGATCTGTCCCACAACCGCATCAGTGATCCAGCGCTAGTTAATATTCTAGAGAAAATGCCTGACTTGGTAAATTACAGTGCATTTCTTTCCTCATTTATGCTTTCTTGTAAATTTTGATTAATTTGCTAGTTAATATATGTTTGCTTGATCTTTCCAGCGGGTGTTAAATCTAATGGGCAATGAAGTCATCAAAAAAATCCCAAACTACAGGAAGACTCTGATTGTGCGTCTGAAGCAGCTGACCTATCTAGATGATCGGCCTGTTTTTCCAAAAGATAGGTTAGCAGCAGTGTTTACTGTTTAAAAATTAGCATTGTCAGATTTTTATCTGCAGTTTTCTCCACAAAGCTTATATGTAACCCGTTACTCTAAAGCAGGGGTCCCCTAACTCAGTCCTGGAGGGCTGGTGTCCTAGCTCCAACCCCAATTAGACACACCTGAACCAGCTATTCAAGCTTTGTCTAGGTGTACTAGAAACTTCCAGGCAGGTGTGTTAAAGAAAGTTGGAGCTAAACTCTACAGGACACCAGCCCTCTATGACAGACTTTGTGCAACCCTGATTATAGAGGGTGTTGCTTTATATTTTATTATTTCACAGAGCATGTGCCGAGGCCTGGGCAGCTGGTGGTTTGGAAGGTGAGCAAAAAGAAAGGGAAATGTGGCAAACAAGAGAGAGAAGGAAGATCCAGGAAAGTTTGGATGCAATGACTGCCATTCGAGAGACTGCTCTGAAACGGCGGCAGGACCGAGAGCTTTCAGAGAAAGGCAAACACACATTCGCTTTACTTATACATTACTGTTCATGCCAATTCAAAGAGTAAACAAGCACTCACATTCTCTTACTTTGGTTTTACCATACAATATCATTAAACTTTTTTTTACGATTTACCCCCAGGAATTCTAGAGTTTCCAAGTCCAGTTGCTGAGGACCAGAGCCCACATGATGAAATATCAGATATTGAACCTGCAGAGAGTGACTCAGATAGTGAAACAACACAAGAACAAACTGATGCATCTCCATCGCCATCAGAGATGGACCACAATTTCAACTCTGCATCTGATGAAGATCAGATTATTCAAAAAACACAAAATGATTCAGACCAGTCACAACCACAACCGAATGAAAGTGTTCATTCATCATTTGACGAGGAACAGATTCGCCAATCAGCAACATGGGGACTGAAGCCTAAAGAGGAGAAGAATCAAATTTTGAGCATCTACACAAAACAATCACCGTCTGATCAGAGAGTTTTAATCTCAGTCTCAGGTCCCGGTGCTCTTGTCACTGAACTGATCTCTGAAGACGAAATAGAGTCTATCAACCTTTCAGATGAACCTGTATTAACAATTGATGTGAGTCCTTACACCGTTGTAACTCATTATAACTCATTTGTTTTTAGAATAAATTTTCATTTCTTATAATTCTTATAGTATTTCGCTACAAATAACATTTTTGGATTCTCCCTAGGATCTTCCAGATCTTGAGGATGAAGAAAATAGCCACATACTACCAATAACATCACAGGTAAGAACATGTGCTTTTTTGTATATCTCAGAAACCCTTGTTATTAGCGACACTAATGGCCATTTTGTGAACTGCAGTGTCATTTTTTTCGCACATAATAAGCTATATTCATGCCAAGTTTTTTTTTTTTTTTTTAACCACCGATAAACTTTTGTTGAATGGTTAATGTGACTATTTAAAATTGTTACATGGTTCCTTTTACAGCATCGATTATGTAAATTAATATAATCCGTTAAATAGACTTAAGCTTTTATTTAGTTGTTAGTTTGCGTAACAATGATAAAAATATGAAAAGCCATTTAAACACAAGCCCCTTCAGGGGCAGCAGGAGCGTTAATAATAATGTGGTAAAATTAATTTCCATCATTTAAAGAGATGCCACAGAACAGTGTAACTAAATTCAGTACATTTTGTTTGGTCTCAGACCCATTTTATAATTGTATCTCAATCAGGCAACAAAGATAACTGATTTTAAAGAAACCAGATCTTAAATGTGGCGATTTTATAAGGCATGCCAGGTCACCAGAAGCACTTGAGCTGCTTTGCTAAAATTAAAAGTCCCTACCTCTGCATATACCCCATTGTACATGAGACAGAATATTATTTAAGGCCCTGATGTAGTCATGAAGTTCTGTTTCATTCTTTAATTAAAAAAATCTTCAATAATGTACAGTAATATACTGTTAACAAACATTCAAACATCGTCCATTTTGCTGAGAGCTGTACTAAACACAACATCGAAAAAAAACATAGTGGTGAGAGAGAATCTGTAAAAATTAAAACAAATGAACGTAGTGATGTGGAAATGTTTGCACAAGCTTTGCAATTCACCGGCATCATTTCAACAGATGAGGTTATTAAAACGATAGATCAATTAAAAAGTACTTCACATGAAGTCAAATGTAACTTTGTTTAATTTCTAGCAATAGCATACAAAGTCCTGCATATAAGAAAATCAAGCTTTCATTGACAACCAGGTAGATCAGAGAATGTCTTGTTACAAGCCGTAAACACCTGGGAATTTTACACACGGCCCCTTTAACTTAATCTAAAGTTGTTTGATTTGAATATTCAAATGAATAAAAATGTCATATATAGATTAAAACTAGAACAGTATCTCAATGATACTAAAACATCACTTGGTGAGAAAGCAAGTCATCTTCACAGTTGTGATAAAAAATTGTGACCATATTATTCAGCAAATTTCCTACTTTTAAATGCTACATTTTTTAGAGTGGGATGCGTCCAAAGATTGAGGTGATCTCCAGCATTGACACAGAGTCAGAAGCTGTTAGGAGTTTGTATCCCTGGCCTCATTCAGACGCTGTGGCCCTTGACCAATCTCAGCAGCTTATCAGTGTCTCCACTACAAGAAACTCAGTCAAACAGTCTGGCATCAGTCTGGCAGAGGCAGGAGATGACGTCCCAAAGGCAGCAGAAAAAAGAAAGACTGTTCTGATTGAGGAACTGGACTGAGTCTTTATGATTGAACGGAATGGATTAAACTATATTGCGTCTGATGGCCTTTCAGCACAAACATTAAATTTAAAACAAATGGGACGTCTACCATATAGATAATTTGATTAAAATTATTTTAATCATTTTAATAAAATGTTAAAATAAATTACTTTGCTTTGAATTTTATTGCAGATATTGTACATTTGAAATACCATGTATACAGTTTTACCTGATCTTTTTACACAATCTACAAATATTTAAAAGTGTACAACGTTTTTCATTACTGTTTTTTATAGAAAAAAAATAGTTTTCAAATAAGCAAACACATAATTAGTCTCACCACATCTCTTTCATGTAAACTCACACACTAAATTAAAGAACATATTCAAAGAAAAAGAGTCTATGCAGATGTGTGCCTGTAGACCCGACATTGCCGTCAGTTCGGATTTGTGTGGATCAGTTAGATCCGAAACAGTAGGAGAAGAGAGCAGCATATCAGGAGCAGGTCTTTGCTGACAGAATGAGCGAGTGCTTTGAGGGTTTCCTGATTGGTTTGATCAGTGTTGGGAACCAGGGGTGTGGTTGCAGACACAGCTTCAGTACGACTGGCACATATATCATAGAGGTTCCCTGCAAATGCGGTTTTCCGGGACTCTGCCCTCAAAGACTCCCAGATTTCTGCTGCATCGCCACGACAACCTGACAACACTCCACTAACACACACCTGGAAGGCGTCCCATGACCTGTGGATATGAAAGTGCAATGTAATAAGATAATGAGATGAATCTGTATTCAATAAAGACGTGTTTTTCATGTGTCTCACTTGCAAATGGAGTTGATGTCCTGTGGGTTTTCATCCGTCTTGGAGCTCACACTGTCACCCAGAGTGAGCAGACACTCAGCGAAGCCCCTGTACACAGCACTACATGGAGGTGTCACTGCTGCACTCAGCACACACCAACAGAGACCTGGGGAAACATCAAAACACCTCTGATAGGACTTTGGTGTGCGTTATTTAATTATTTAACAGAATGGAGCACAAGTGAAGATGATAACAATGTTTAAAATTTAAAATTAGTGTAAAATAGATGTAAACTGCCCCTTTTTGATCCTAATTGGGCCATATTGATGACTTTCTCTTTAAATTCAAATGAGATTGTGTTCCCAGCACTCTCAAATAGGGCAAAGCTACAAATGCCGGCATTCATTCATTCATTTTCTTTTCGGATTAGTCCCTTTATTAATCTGGGGTCGCCACAGCGGAATGAACCGCCAACTTACACAGCATATGTTTTATGCTGCTGATGCCCTTCCAGCCTGCAACTCAACACTAGACCATACCCATACACACCCAAGCACACACATCACTACCGCCAATTTAGTTTATTTAATTCACCTATACTGCAACCAGAGCACCTGAAGGAAACCCACATGAACATGGGGAGAACATGCTAACTCCGCACAAAAATGCCAACTGACCTAGCTGGTGGTTAAACCAGCGACCTTCTTGCTGTGAGGCGCTCGTGCTACCCACTGCTCCACTTACTCTCTTATGACATGTACAAAGGGAGACTTTTTTTGTTGTTGTTGACTGTTCTTATGAAGTGTGATAATAAAAAATAAAGTTAATCTATTTTTACCATTAGCAGCTGGTTATATTCACAGACAGTTGCCACACAACTGTGTTTAAACCCCCTATAAAAGTAATTTTTGCACAATAGGTTACCTTAAAAAACTGTTTGCTCAATTCTGTCGCTCAGTTCTGTCAGTTTTAATGTCATGTCTGCCTTGTTACTCACGGTAACAGATTTTGACGATATAAAATTGAAAATTTATCTCAGGAACTTCACTCTCTATCACAACTATTATAAGCACATGACATTAATGAAGTCATGATTAAAGTAACAATTGATGATGGGCCATTGAATTATTAGAAAACAATGCACACCCAAGGTAGTGATGTGGAATGGAGTGACAGTTGTGCGTTATTTTTTAATAGTTCAATGGCTCATCATCAGTTATTCCACTTAAACTACAGGTATCACACCTAAAGACCTTGTTCAATTGTTACCCTTAAAATAGTCTTGTACGCAGTATAGGTTCTTACCGATTTAATTCCAAGCCACAGGTTCTGATTTGTTTATTCATTCATTTGTTTTCCTTTGGCTTAGTCCCTTTATTTATCAGGGGTTGCCACAGCAGAATGAACCGCCAATTTATCCAGCAAATGTTTTACACAACAGATGCCCTTCCAGCTGCAGTGCCAACTGACCCAGCCTGTCGCCCACTGGTTCTAATACTAAAATATAATTTTAGTGCTAATAATAATTGAGGTTTGTGCCAATGAGTAAATAAGAGAGTCTGTGCTTCTATGTACAGTATTTGTTCCAATAGGGAAACTACATTTTTAAAGGGACCCTATTAGGATTTTGTATTTTTGAATGTTAGTCAGTGTGTTGTGTGTATGTTTCAGCATAAAAAAATCGACAAAGTTTCAGATCTCAAAGTTCACTCTAAAGGGAGGTATTTTGGTTATAAAAATATAAATTTTCAAGAACAACAGCTAACAGCTCATTTGGGCTACAAGCATCCATTTCCATGGTTTATGATGTCACAAAGCAGCGTTCACAATATGTACAGCTTGAGGGCAAAATTAAATATCGGGTCTGAACTGATTTATCTAAAGAGTTGGTAAAGAAGAAATACTACAGAAATAGTGTATTAAACCTTACTATAGTAATGCGTATTATACTATAGGATTTTCAACACTTTGTTAGCAAATGCTAACGTTTACTGTAGCTCTACTAAATTGATCAACTTTAATAAATACTGGAATATACTTTAGTGCATACAGCAATAAACTGTGGTGTGTTGTGGTAAAATATACTCTTTAGTTGTAGAAAATGTAGGCATACAGTGTAAAATGATATAGTAAATACTAGTGCTTTTAAAACACTTTAGTAAAGTGTATTATATTATAGTATTTACAAAACTTTTCCATTTAATGCTACAGTATATTGTAGTTAATATACTGAACTTATAAACTGTAATAAATACTATAGTATACTTTTAAGGTTTTACTGCAATAAACTGGTGTATTGTAGTATAATATGCCCTATAGTTGTCGAAAACTTAGGCGTATTGAGTAATTTGTTTCAAATTACTGTAGGTGTTGTATCACCATATCAAATATAGATTTACCACAACAGATTAATTCAAGTACTATAGTATAGTTTAAAAACATTTACTTTAAATAACTTTTTTTTTTGCAAACTATTTGATTGACAAGTGACCAGGCAGTGCTAACAACACATTTCTGTGTATGCTTCCATGTTTGTGCGAGTGTGTATTTGTTGTGTATCAGTGTATATTTTTTCATGAGAGAGAAAGAGAATAACAGGAGAAAGGCTCAATGTACATGTTTATTTCGTTTTTTCTACTCTTGTATGCTGTAAACTATTTTGAAATGACTGAAATCTTTTGGCAAAGTGATCTTGAACTATTTTATGATCAAGAGTATTGGAAACACATTTGTGCATTTCACTGATATAATTGCATATCAGCTCGGAATGTACACCCATCCAATTAGAATCAAGTCTCATATTGCATATAAACCAGTATGACATACATGGACAGAAGAGGTAATGAACAAGTCTGGTGAAAACTTTTTTGTTTAATTGAATTTTTTGCTGTTTCTTAGTAATTATTTGAGAATTTAGTAGCGAATTCTAAGTGAAGTCAATCTAACATATTTTATTTTCATTAATAATTCTTCTTACTGTTACATTTATCTTTAATACTGCCTTATTCATTATTCAGATATACTGTGTAAGCTACATTGCAAAAGTCCATTGTTTCTGTATGTTAATATATGTGTCTGTATATCTATGTGAGTTGCTGTACGTCACATGGATTAATCTGAGGATTAGACCCAGAGCAAAAACCATGTTTAATCTTGTTCAGAACAAATCTCCTCCATTTTACCGTTTCCCAACTATAACCATTTGATATGTTTATCTTAAATGAGAAATACTAGTATATTCAGTAGTTTAGCCAGGTTTTTTGCTTTCTGAATGCTATGTCATAGTATATGTACTGTACAGCACACTATATACCATGACTGTGGCTACTACTTCACTTTTATTCCCTGATAAATGACAGAAGAATTGAAAGAGCGTACAGAAACACAGGTTTGCATATGTAGCATTCTTGATTTTAGATTTAATTAAAATGAGTTATTTGTAATTTGATACTTAAGTATGTAAAATAACATTGAAAACAAATATATGTCATATATATGAGACAAACTATGACACCTCACATTAATACACACTCAAAAACAAGCCTGAAAATAAAAAGAAATGAAATAAAAATAGAGGTTTACTCACTGAGGCAGATTGAAATGAACAGCAGCAGATGCATTCCGTTTGAGCAGCCAGAGTTTTGAACTGAAGATCACACACACTGGAACACCTTAATGTTTTAACACTTCAACAAATAGTCGAGTATGAATCATCCATTGCTTCTTCGGATGCTTCATTCACCTTCCAGTCGTCAACTGTTGAGGCTGATGGATGAAGGGGAATGCAACATCTGATTATTAAAAAGGGGGGAAAACTGTGGGATTAAAGATCATTTCCGGCTGCAGCGTTCATTATATCAAAGTGTGTACCTTATATTACAATGCTTCTATATGCTTAAGAGTTATTGGTCTTTGTCTCTCTCTCTTTTTTATCACACACACACTCACTTTCTCTACTACACAAACACAATATACAAACAGATGGAATAACTCCAGTAGGACTGTTATTTTAATTCCAGCATGGTACTTTCTAATAAACACACAGTGGACAGGACTCGGTTTGATTGACAGCCTTGGATTATGTCATTGCGTAAATCTAAGGGGAGAGCAGAGTAAAGGCGGATTACAACCTCTTATATAAAGCCATTACTATCAGCTTCACTCCCTCATTTTCTCTGCTCACTATTTCCTAGTATTTGTTTGTTGTTGGACATGGAGTAATGGTGGTATCATGGTTTTCTTTAAGTAGGATGAGATCCTTTAAGTGGAGATAGATTTTGCTTTTCACAGTATTTTATTCAATATACTCAAAACCTTCTATTGACGTTTTAATAATTCAGTGCTTAAATATATTAATTTCTTTTTTGCTTTTAATTATTTACAATACCGGTCAAACGTTTGGGGTCAGTTTTTTTTTCATGTTTTTTCTTTTCTTTTTTTTTTTTTTAAAGAAAATCAATCTGTTAATTAAGGTGGCATTTATTAAATGTAAAAATATATATACTTATTACAATTTTAAATAACTGCTTTCTTATTGTATGTAGTTTCAAATAAAATTATTACTCCAGTCATTATTGTTTTTGGTACTATTACCATTAATAATAATAATTAATATAAGAGTGATTTCTGAAGGATCATGTGACTGAAGACTGGAGTAATGAAGCTGAAAAATCATCATTAAAATCACTGGAATAAATGATTAAATTAAATTATAAATTATTTTTAAACGGTTATTTTACTGCACAATAATATTTCACAGTTTTACAATTTGTACTGTATTTATGATTAAATAAATGCAGCCTTGGTGAGCAGGATATATATACACTTTAACTTGTATGGAACAAGTGAATGGTAAGAAGGGGGAAGTGGGGACAGTTGCAACATTTTTTGCATTTCCTTCAGTTTCTCTGAGACTTCAGTTTGTGGAAACACAAAATTAAATACATTAAACCTACATCTATTTGACACCCACCCACAGTGCTATTATATGTGTACATATGATAAAACATGCAGAATTTAAACTTGAACAGACAAAGTCAAACGTTGCAACTGACCCCGATCGGGGGGAGGGTTGCAACAACGCACAGGGACAGTTGCAACATTTATTAAAATGTAATATTAAAACATTCTAAAACATCAGGTTCAATTTTATCAATTTTTTTGGTAAAAAGACTCAATTTAAATTCATTAAATTGTTAAATGTGTTAAATTTGCCATATACAGTTCAAGTCTGAAGAATTATTGAATTATTATAATCTCTAACTGATTTATTTTATCTTTGGCATGATGACAGTAAAAAATATTTGACTATTTTTAAAGACACGTATATACAGCTTAAAGTGACATTTAAAGGCTTAATTAGGTTAATTAGGCAGGTTAGGGTAATCAGGCAAGTTATTGTATAACGATGGTTTGTTCAGTAGACAAAATAAATAGCTTAAAGGGGCTTATAATTTTGATCTTAAAATGTTTTTTTTTTTAAATATATATAACTGAATATAAAAAATAATAGAAATAACTGCTTTTATACTATCTGAAATAAAACAAATAAGACTTTCTCCAGAAGAAAAAATATTATCAGACATACTGTGAAAATTTCCTAAACATCATTTGGGAAATATTTTAAAAATAAATAAATAAATAAATAATTTAAAGGGAGGCTAATAATTCTGACATCAACTGTAAATACAGAGTAATAAAAGAACAAGCCACGGCCAACAATCAAGTCTTAAGAAACTGAACTTTTTTTTTTTTTTTTTTACTAAAACCACTTCTTTGAACTTTGAAATTAATACATTAATCAAAGAATTCATGTTTACAAAGTAAATTACTTTGAAACTGTGATAAAATTAAAATTGAAATCTATGCTAGGAAGAGACAATAGCTTTAACTCTTGATAGATAAACTTATTTAAAACTTAGATAACAGTGATTTAAAGTATTTGAACAATGAACAATATTTGAACAATATGAACAATATTTCACGAAAACAGATTACATTAGTAATTTTCTGAACATTCATTTATTTTATTTTTTATTTATTTATTTTTTCACCTAAAATGAATTGTATGCTGAAGGAATGCTCACAAATGGCTGATTTCTCTCAGACGGTCTAACTGAAAGTTGTAGTATAGTATACTTTAGCTTATTCCTAACTTAAATGGAGTCTTGCAGCTGCCCCACTCTCCCCTAAATGATACAACAAACGGAAAAAGAAAGAAAACGTTAATAAAAATAGTTTTACTACGTTAGTTGTAGATTAATGGTTGCGACAGCTTTTGTCATTTTTTGTCATAGATTTTGACATCTATTTAACTCAGTTGCCTTAAGAAAAACCTACCACTAGGTGGGAGTAACGTCGCATATTAGCTACAGTTGTATGACGCGTTGCTACTCAACGGAAGTGACGCAGTTTGTGTGTATGTGGGGCTGTCATGGAAGAAGCAGCTTCACCGGCTCGTCGTCGCGGTGGTCCGGCGGGGGTCTCCGCCGTGCAGACCGACACTATCGAGGCTCTAACTGAGCTGGAGGATCTGGAGCGGGTCTACGCGCAGCTGTGTGCCGAAGAGGTAAATATTTACCAGTGGAAAAAGGGTGTGCTCGTTACTTCAGGGACTACTATGAAAACTCTTATCATGTGTTCTAGATAGTGTTTGACATTTAAAAAAGATTGTGTGCGTCAACAATGAGATTTGGAGTGTTGACATACGCTGGCATGAACTGTAAACAAACGCACCTCTCTGACAGGCGGAAGTGCAGGTGGAGTTGGACGCTCTTGTGGGACAACAGAACAACATCGAAACAAAGATGCTCTCCCTGCAGAGGATGGGGTGAGTGCTTTTGATTACAGCTAACCTAACGTTTCACCACAACAGGTGTCCTGACATTTTATCTTACCCATCAGAATTATGCTACCAACACAGTATTTGAATGGTTCTGATGTTGGGGTAAGGGATTAGGTAGGTTAGGGCGATATTACAACTTCATATCACACTGCTCCGCATTAAAAATCTGGTAGCAAAATCTGATGGTCATCGAAATGTGCTACTTACTTTTTGAATGGGACGTAGGACAATCTGACAACACAAGTCAAATGTTTGAAATCAGTAGTGTTGGTGTTTTAAAAAGATTTTTGTCTGTAGTATTGAGACCTGTGTGTAGAAGTGTTAAAATATACATATATAACCTGTGTATATATAGAGAGAGTGGCAACAATAATTGACCATAGGAAACAGAAATCAACATATTATAATGACTTCTTAAGGATTGTGTTAAACACAAGAAAACAATTGTTTTAAAAAGCAGCTTGTTTCCAAAGCTCTAAAAATTTTAATTCTAAAAATTACAAACTGTTGAGCTTCATAATTTTTGTTAAAGCTGTGCTATAGTACCATTAAAGAAAAAGTATTATTCATCAAGGACACATTAAATTGTTCAAGAAAGAAAGTAAATATATTTATAGAGTAAATTCAAATAAATGCAGATATTTTTCATCTTTTTTTTCATCAAAGTATCCTAAAAAGTCCAATTTGTCACAATCAATTTGTTTTCAACAATAATATGAGGTAGGAAAACCTATTTGTAACTTTTTGTAATTATATTTAATTAATACCCTAAGGCAGGGGTGTCCACACTCTGTCCTGGAGGGCCAGTGTCCTAGAGAGTTTAGGTCCAACCCTAATCAAACAAACCTGAAGAAAGCCTATTAAGCTCTTATTAGGTATACTAGAAACTTTCAGGCAAGTGTGCTGAAGCAAGTTGGAGCCAAAGTCAAGCTAAAAAAAAAACTAAATCTATATTTAGAAGTCTTTATTCTTCAGGCTAAAAGGTTAATTTCTTTAAATTGGAAAACTGCATACACCAAATATAGGATGTTGGCTTAAAGAAATGGTTACGAATGTGACTATGGAAAACATAACCTAAATATTCATTTATTAATTTTCTTATCGGCTTAGTCCCTTTATTAATCTGGGTCACCACAGTGGAATGAACCGACAACTTATCCAGCATATGTTTTACGCAGCTGATTTCCTTCCAGCTACAACCCATCATTGGAAAACACACTATGGGGAATTGAGCTTATTCAATTCACCTATACCGCATGTCTTTGTGGGGGAAACCGGAGCACCCGGGGGAAACCCACTCGAACACAGGGAGAACATGCAAACTCCAGACAGAAATGCCAACTGACCCAGCCAGGGCTCGAACCAGCGACCTTCTTGCTGTGAGGCGATTGTGCTACCCTCTGCGCCACCGTGCTGCCCAACATATATTTTAAGAGATAAATAAACAAACAATGTTTTGAGGTATTTGGGGGTTCTTTTAAACTGGGAAATGTTGTTTTATTTTGTTGTTTTTCCTTGTTTAAATATTTGTCATTTCTCTGTAGTATTGTCCATATGTTTAAATGAAATTGAAAAAATAATTATTACAGTCATCACAAATGGCGGAGTGGCAATAATAATCAAGCAAAATAGAACAGCAATTATGTGTGATTGATTGACACTTTCAGTAATACATTTGTATTATTTGTAATAAATGTATTTTTAAGCTTTAATTATGATTTTACTTTGTTTTGATCAAATAAACAGACATCTTACTGTTCCCAAACATTTGACCAGTAGTGTATTATATTGCAATAAATAAATATGTCAGTGTGCTGATGATAAAATGTGTGTGTACCTCAGACCCAACCTGCAGCTGATCGAGGGAGACGCTGTGCAGCTCTCTGGCATGATCAACTTCACATGCAGCCTGGCAGAAAATGTCAGCAGCAAAGTCAGACAGCTGGATCTCACCAAGGTGCCAACATCATTTTCATGATCATAGGTTTGTGTCAAACAGTCCCCTTCAATTTTGTGTGGTTCCTTTTCAGAAAAGGCTGTACCAAGCGATTCAGCGGGCTGATGATATTCTGGACTTGAAATTCTGCACAGATGGTGTTCAGACTGCCCTGCGGAATCAGGACTATGAACAGGCCGCTGCCCACATTCATCGCTACCTTTCTCTTGACCAGTCTGTGATCGAGCTCAGCAAGCAGGGTGGAGAGGGTGAGCCATTTTTTGACTCCAAGATGTTTTTTTTCCTGCGAGTAGGGTTACCTTTGCAAATTTTGGTTGAAATTATTGTTTTTAAAAATATTGTCTTGCCACAATGGTGCTTTTGTGGGAGAAATTAAATAAATGGTTTGAGATGGTGGTTGTTGCTGAGCAAAATTTAGAAATTGATTTTATTTCAGTAACCACATTTCTTGCATATTGGTGAATAATCAAGGATATTAAATATGCTTGCCAAAAATATATACTTTATTTGATTTATTTGGAACTTGAAGGCAAATAAAAAATGTAGATTTATTTGAATAATTAATGGGATTAGTAAAAAAAACAGCTTAAAAAGCTAATATTTTAGCTGGTAGTGGTGAATCTGCGTAGAAATAATGTACAATGTGCAAATCTTACTCACAAAGGTACTCAAAATCATGTGCTTACATTATTGAATTATTTCTATGTGTGCTATACATTGCACAGGCAGTGCAGTTGAAGCCAGCCTTGCGTTGCTTCAGGAGGCAGAGCGCAATCTGAAGACACTGGTTACCACTCGTCTGGAGGAAGCAGTTGCCACAGGCGACTTGCCTCAAGTTGAGCGCTTTTTCAAGATCCTTCCTTTACTAGGACTCCATGAGCAGGGACTTGCACGCTTTGCTCAGTACCTTTGCAGTCAGGTAGGAGCATGTATGCATGTCCACCCTACATTACAGTAAAAATTGTTTGGTTAGACTATATGGGTTGGAGTATTAAAGTCGCCATGAAATCAAAATTTAGAATGTTTATTTGCTACCGCATGTTGTTAACCTTAAATGGATAGTTCACCCAAAAGTTTCTTTATTCTGATATTCTGATATTGTAAAGGAAAAAAACAGCCATAGACTTTCATGGTGTTTTTTGGTTTTTACAATGGATGTCAACAAATGTTTTTTTCCCCCTTACATTCTTCAGAATATCTATATGTTTTGTGTTCAACAGAGGAAAGAAATTCATAAAAGTTTAGAACCATTTGAGTATGAGTAAATGATGAGGAAATTATATTTGGGTGATTTTTCTTTTGTAAATTAACAATTAATCCATGCAAGTTATTCCACTGAAAAAAAAACTTTTTTGTTTTGGTAAAATAATTAAAATCTCACCATTTACTTCTGTTCTGGAATGGCAGTCTTTCTCCGATCCATTATTTTGCTGTAGCTGAATGATGAGATCAGGAGCACAAAAAATAAAATCCCACCACCTACTCGGTATTCTATTTTAATTGAAAATACATCATCATAGGGGTGCACTGTTAATCAAAGGTGGCTTTTTATGCGCATTTGGTCAGTGAAGCCAGTTCTCCAGCACCTGCTTTAAGATGGAGCATGCATGTCTACTAGCTATGGTTTACTGACAATCTACAGAAAAAAACTGGGGATGATTTAATCGAAAATAATCATTGAATGCATCTCAATCAGCCCTTGTTGTTCAATAGTCAGTGCACTGATCAGGGCATCAGGCAATTTTAAGTGCTGTCCCAACTGCAAAATTCTTTCAGTGCACTGAAACGTTTGCGTCCTAAAAAGTCCCACAATACATTGATTCGGAAGCATGAAATATGAATCACGTGACCCAAATCATCAAACAAAATGACAAAAGAGAGACGTTTTTCTAAGATAAATGCATTGTTTTTTATTTTAAACATGAATGAACATGGCTAGATAGGTTTATAAATATCTGTTAAACAACTGTAATTGTATAATGGTTGTAATTTTGCTGGTAAATTTTTTAGCTGAATTGCATATTTAAAAACATGGTAAAATTAATAAATAGAAATTATCTGTATAAATTACAGTTTTGATTATGTACAACGAGGACATTCTGATGTCACACTCAGTGTGTCCCAATATTTAGTGAACCAAGCTCATCACTGTCTTTATCTGTTCCTGAATTAGTGCACACAACCTACTAAAGAATGACCTCGGAAGCTAGGGTGATGATTGAGATGCTCCCATTCTGTGATTTGACAGCTGTTTGCGTCATTTTACAGAGTAAACAGTAGTACAGTACAGTAAATTTTACAGTAAAAATTACAGTAAATTTACAGAGCTTTGCTTCCTGGACAAGCTCTGCATGACAATCACAGCTTTTGCTAAACCGTGATTTCGATTTAATTACAATTTAACATGCAGCCCTAAATCATCATACTAGAATTAAAGTCTGCAGCAATGTCCAGAATCCCACAGAATTGAAGGCTAATGTGTTTCTCTCTTCTCTTTTAGTTGGCCAGTAAGGCAGAGGAGAATTTAATCTTGGCCGTTGGCTCTGATCTCGGTGAACGCAGAGCACCTGTGATCTTTGCTGACACTCTTACACTGCTGCTCGAAGGTACGATGCACAGTGTTATGAATGCAAACAATATTTGTAATGGACTGAGAAGAATAGACATCAACTAGTATTTGTCTGTATCTATTAGGCATTGCACGCATTGTAGAAACCCATCAGCCAATAGTGGAGACATACTATGGACCGGGCCGCCTGCACACACTTCTCGCGCACCTTCAGAAAGAGTGTGACAAACAGGCTCAGAAAATAGTGGACAAATTCATCCAACAGAGGGATTACAACAATAAGGTTTGTGTACAGTTTGTATCCACTGTTTCTGTGTTTTTGCAACATGCATAAAAAATTCATTTTTACATTTTACTAGATTTACTAACAGTTTGCCCCAGTGCAAACCTACTATGGCATTTTTCTGAATTAATAATGAAAAGGTGCAGAAAGGTTTAATTTTATGTTTGACCTTATCGCAAATAAGTTTCCTTTAAACACAGAATGTAGGATAGGACAGTATTTAAACAATTCACGCAACAAGATTTACTCAGGCTTGCATCAGTCAGTTTACTGAAATGTGCCATTATGTAACACAATATTAAATAATATAATAATAATATTAATATACACATATGGTGTAATAGTTGCTCTAGGAGGAGAAATGCATTGATAAAAGGGACACAGTTTTCTTTATTTGTAATGCTTCTTAAACTTTATCCCAATACTGCTGCTGTTTGTAAATTGCATTAAAAATGAGTTGCTGTGTTGTTATAATTATCAAATTAACTTTAATTTTAAAAGCCCCATAAAATTAAAATAAAAAAAAATTAGATATTAGTTTCAGTCTGTTAGTTTTAAGGACATTTATATGTTGGTTTGCTCCAAAACTCCCCCAAAAAAAGTGCACCAAAATTCACTCATTTAGGAGATATAAATCTGATATAAACTTGAAAACTTGCAGTTTGTCATTTCCATCTAATTAGATCACTGATTTTTTTATGTCGCCTCATGCTTCAGTTTCTCATCAAATCCTGACCAATCATATGCTCTCTAACGTCTGACATGTCCCTCCTCCTTCAAAACACTTCTAATTTGCTTTTCATTTAATATGCTTGATCTCAACCACTCACTGGTAGAGCTGTGTTAAAACAAAAAAAGATATTTGCTACTTATTCAAAAGGGGAGGGGCTACTCTGTCCCACCTTCTCTTAATTTTTTAGTAAAGATTACGTCAAACATGGAATAAAACTACTTATTTTAAAGCACTTCATGGTACCTTTTATCAATATCACTAAAAGAAGGTAAATTTGCTTCCAAAGTATATTGATTTAACAATCTTTAGACATCTTTTCTGAAAAAACAAGGCTAAAGTACAGAAGTATTGTAAACTTTTTTTACATTGCGATCAGAAGGTAAGAAAAACTGTTACTTTCATATTATAGTAATTGGGAACAGAGTTATTGGTGACACTTTATTTTGATAGTCCATTTGAGTATTAGTAGACTGTCTGCTTCAGAAATCCTTTAAAATGCTTTAAAACTTACACAAACCCTATCTCTGCTACAAGATTTTACCTACCATCTTTGCTTTTATGGAATTTCTTATTCATAATAGTGTCCCTTGTTTAGTAAATATCCCATGGTGTGAACTTTCCTGTAAAATAAATGCATTTTTCCTAATAGTTTCAGGTTGTCCAGAGCAACATGATGAGGGGCATGACTACGGATAAGATCGAACCCAGGTGCTGTCTGTGTTCTAGTTCTGTCATCGAAATTATTTGAGCATTTCAAGAATGTGAATGGTTTTATTTGGGGTTGTATGTTTTATCTAGAGACCTGGATCCTGTGTTATGTGAGGTTACCTTAATGAACTCAAGAGCTGAGTTGTATTTCCGATTCTTGAGGCGGCGTATAGTCGCTGACTTCGAGGTTGCAGATGCCATGGCGGATGAAGCGGTTATACAAGGTAACACATAATTTGTTTTTGAGCGCCAGATCAACATATTATAATATTTATTCTACAAAAGGCAGATTTCAAATTTTCAAATGTATTACATATGTTAGTGCTGTCAATCAATTAATCGTGATCAGTCGCATCCAAAATTAATGTTATTTTGAAGGTATTTCCAAAGTATATATTTTTGTACACTGTATATATTTTTGTGTATTTAAAATGATCCGTGCCAGTACTGTATAAATTGCTTGTTAATATTAACAGATAAATATTTATATTTAATACAAAGTTCATTTTTGTATTTCTTTTTTTTTTATTGCAGTTTCCAAATTTACATAGAGATGTATGGTACATAGGGCACAATGCAACCAAACATAGAAATTCAGAAATTGTACAGATGAAAGATAATGTAAAATACAAAAATCCCATAAATATTTAAATAACATGAATGATTCAGGGACATTATAAGAACAATCAAAACAATACACTCATAATTTTTTTTGGTTATCATCGAAATGAAAACAGATCAAACTTATTTGTTGCTTTACAATTACTATTCAATTGTGTACTGATTGAGTACTTTTTTAAAACTATACGTACGAAATTGAGAGACTGGTGCTTTTAGCAGGTTAAATGTTAATTTTGAATGGATTTATTTTTAAATAAGTATTATTCTTCTCACTATTTTTTGATAATTTATTATTTTTACATAAAATAAACAATATAAAATTCACATCTTTCTGATTACTGTACAGTCTATATTGAGTCTGGTTTTAATGGGAGAATATATTCTACCCTTTTTCTCAATATCTCCTTAAACTCCTGTCTGTAAACAATCATTTATTGATGGCCTCTCCATTTTATAGATATCATACGTTATTTCAAACCAATCACTAAATTGAGGTATTTTGAGCTGTAACTATTTTTGGTTATGAATTTTTACAGGCTATCAGCAAATTTTTCACCAGTTTTGTGTTAGATTTTTCTTCTAACATAGGATATTTGAGGCCCAAGTATAGTGTTGATGAAGAAAAACCGATGGGGAAATGGGATATAATCTCTAAGCATTTATGAATTTCTTGCCATGAATTTTAAACATTTCCAGAGTATGTGTGTATAATTCGCTTCATTTGAGCCGCATAGTCTCCAACAGACTGCATTTTTGTTTAGTATCTCTTCTGCTCAGGGCTGACATATTTTTTGTATTTCATGTACAGAATGTGTTCGTATTTATACATATATATTCACAGTGTGCACGTAAATAATATGTAAACCTTTACTTCACTAGTTTGACAGCACATATATTGAATAACACAGCCAGATTTAATTGTAATACTCTTGTTGGCTACACAAACTAGACATGACTGCAAAAAAACAGTGCTCAATGCATCCACTGATTTATGCTTATTATTACTTCGGTGGAATTTCAGTTTAACAACATTTGCTTGTATTGTTTATTGTTGTTTGACTTTTTTTATTTCTAGAGCATCAGCAGAGTTTAGAACAGTTACTGAAGAATTGCCAGCTGAGTCGCACTATGCAGGAGCTGATTGGCTATTACATTCCTATGGAGGAGTATTACATGAGAGAGTCTGTCAACAAGGTGCTTCGTGTATTCAGTATATAAATCTAGACTTTCATGTGTGAATGTACATTATACTCCAGTTACGAATGTTAACCGTTCAAATGTTTGGAATTTGTCAGTTGTTTTTAAAATGCAAAGAAGCAGGAAAGTAATATTTAAATAGAGATACATTAAAATACAATGATGGTAAAGAAATTACCAGTGTTACTATTAAATATTTTTCAAGTAAAAAAATTTTGTATAATATTCATTTATTAAAGTGGTATCATGATTTTTACAAATCTTTTAGGCTGCACAATACTTTTCAGTTGTGATGATACTTTCCAAAGCTCCAAATCACCATGATTTGTTTAGGATTGTTTGACTATTGGAGATAATGTTATGCAATCATAGAAAAACATTATAAAGTAAAATATATTCTAATTAAAAACAGCTAAATTGTTGTTTAAATAAATGCTAACCCTGATGAGACTTCTTTCAAAATAAAAATAAAAACATTGTAACACCTTAAACTGTGCATCTTTTTGGCAGAATGAATGTACTTATGGAATGTTTAATATGATTTCATAGGCCGTTGCGATGGACACCGCTGAGGTGGGACAGCTGAGCTCAAGCGTGGTGGATGATGTTTTCTACATTGTAAAGAAATGCATCAGTCGGGCACTCACCAGCAGCAGCTCTGACTGTGTGTGTGCCATGATCAATCATGCAACCAGTGTTCTGGAGACAGACTTCAGGTACATAGACATACACCTACAGTTATCCTTTTCTTACCGTTGTCAAATAACATGTCTTCCTCACCATAAAATGTGTTTTATTAGAATGTAAAGTTTTTTAGTAGAACAACTCCTAAACAAGATTTTATTCTGAGACCACTTGGATTGATGTTTTTACAAATATATCCCTGGAAATAATTTATTATAAGTTTTATATTTTATATGTTTACACAAGTATTATGTATCTTAATATAAGTAAGTTATTTAATCATGTATAAATATAATGTATATACTGTAGTTTTTTATTATTATATTATATTTTATTTTATTATGTTTTAAAATATTATATTATATTTTATAATATTACATTATATTTTATAACATTATGTTATATTGTATTGTATTCTAATATATTTTATATTATATTATTTTATATTATTGGATTATATTATATGTTATTATATTATATTATATGTTATTATATTATATTATATTATTGTATTATATTATATGTTATTATATTATATTATATGTTATTATATTATATTATATTATTTTATATTTTGTTATATTATATTTTTATCTATATTGGTCAAATATGGAAATACTCATAAGTTGCCAATCTAGTAATAAATAAATAAACGAACAAACATCAAATAATGTGAACTGTTGGAAAATTCATATCTAGAAATGTTCTGTAAATTTTTTCTTCTATTTTCCTGTGTCCAGGGAGGTGCTAGTATGCAAGTTGCGGGCGGGATATCCCGTCAGTGCTCTGCAGGACCTGCAGCGAGGGGTCAGCAGTGCCGTCAGCCTGATGCAGAGCAGCCTGCAGCAGGGCAAGATAACGAACCTCACACAAACCCTCGGCATTGAGAGCCAGGAGCAAGCCAAGAGCGCATACTTGGTGAGCATCCAGTCTGCCGACCTGTCTCATCTTATACTTTTATACTGTCAGTTTGATGTGTTTTCTGTTGTAGTTTTTGGAGTTGCTTTAATCGGTTTCCTTTGATCGTCTTCACAAATGTTTCTTGTTTGCTCAGTCTGAACGGACCCTTTTTACAAGACTGTTATGATGCGTTTCATCCGCATCTTAAATCCTTGAAAGCTTTTATTATTTAGAATTTTTTTTTTAAATGTATGAACATTTAGGTGTGTGTATTATATAATCTTGCATCAAATTACAACAAATGAATTACCGCTCATGCGAAGTGTTTCTAATGCAGCTGTCTATGGGGCAGGACAGTAAATTTGATGTTATTCTCTCTTCTGGCTGCTGTTATCAGTCTCACACTATTATTATTTTTCTTTTTCTGAAAGTTTTGATAACACCTTTGGGACGTTTTTCTTTTATTATTTCAGCAAATGGGATTGTAAAAAAATTAAGGGTTGTAGTCTCCCATTCACTGGGCTCTAAGTTTACCCAACTATGATGATTTCCGTTCCTGAAAACCCAGAAATATGAAAAGGGTTCATATTTAGCCCTTTTGTTTCATTTATCTGTTGTTTGATTGCTCATTTTAGAGTTTTCTGTTCCTTGTTCTGTATTTGCGCTCTTTATTAAATCTCCTGCACTTGGATTCTTCTCATAGTGATAGGAGAAACAAAGCTTTTCAAAACAAATCCGTTAAGTGACTGACTTCCTTTAAGGATTAAAGGATTGCTTCACCCAAAAATGTAAATTTAGTGCTTTATTCTTCTTCAGAACACAAATTAAGATGTTTTAGACTAAATCTGAGAGCTCCCTCATCCTCCATTGGATAGGATTTTCATGGTTACTTTTTTATTTCTTACCTGTACCTATTTTGTCACACTCTCACAAATTTTTTAACCTGATTGTTATGTTTGTGGCTGTTTAAAGGTCTCTCTCTCTCTCTCACACACACACACATACATATATACACACTATACTCCATATAAACACCAAAAGCTAAACGGTAACACTTTACAATAAGGTTCTTTAGTTAATGCATTTACTAACATGAACTAATCATGAACAACACATGTACAGCATTTATTAATCATAATTGAACATTTACTAATGCATTTTTAACATCTAAGTCCATGCTTTTTTACATTAGTTAATGCACCATGAGTTAACATGAACTAACAATGAACAACTGTATTTTCATTAACTAACGTTAACTAACATGAACAAATACTGTAGTAAATGTATTGTTCACTGTTTGTTCATGTTAGTAAATGCAATAATTAACATTAACTAATGAACCTTATTGTAAAGTGTGATCAGCTAAACTTTTTTCCACTGCAACTAATGATGAACAGTAAAAATGAATTACACATTGTCCCCCCTTCCCAACAGGAAATGCCTCCAACGAAGAATGCATAATTATATTTTGTGATGGCTTTGCTATTAAAATATGTCATTATAATTGAAGTCAATGTGGCAAGTACAGCCACAAGCATATAGAAAAGGTTGTAAATTTGCCCAGAGTGTATTCGAGTTTTTGAAAATGTGTCTGCTCCCCATGCTTTCCTGTCTACTCTACACTGTCCTGTCCAATTAAAGGTGACCCCCCCTCATCAAACCCACATCCATCAAGTGTTAAAATAAGATTTATCACCAAAAACCATTTCTTTTGCAGATGAAACGCAGAGAAAGTAAAATTAGAAATGAAGACTTCGAAATGGATGAGAACATCCCCAACAGCACACAAGTGTGAAAATAATGATGTATTTGTTTCTCAGGTGACCCTCAATAATGTGGAGGTCTGCAGTGAGAATATCAGCACCCTGAAAAAGAATCTCGAGGTCTGTGTCATTTTTCTTTTCTTTCAGCCAACCTAATAAGTACATACTCAAGTTATTTGCTCACCCTTATGCAACAATCCAATTCAAAATAATTTTTTCATGCATTTATAGTTGATGCAAATAAGACCTTTTACAAACCAATCTGTTGCATGTACAAATATATTTTCTACAATATTTAAATGGCAAGATTAAGATGCCACTTACTTACATTTTCAGACATTTTGGGTAAGATTTCATCAATGGCTTGTATATAGTAGTTTACTGTTCCTAAAAATTTGACATGCCACCCAGAAACCATTAATTTAGTCTTATGGTTCAACTAAAATATGTTGAATCTGTCTGACTAGTGCTGACACAGTGTTGTTCCAAGTGTCCTAAAATGCTTTCTTCTCTACACGTTCATCTCAGAGTGATTGTGCCAAGCTGTTCAGCCAGGGAGCCAGCTCAGATCATGCCAAGGAGAAGATCGACAGCTGTCTGTCGGATCTGGTCAACACCTCCAGCAAATTCAAAGACCTCCTCCAGGTCAGTGGCTATCTGTTTCTGTACTATCATTGAACAGTTAGGCGATAATATGCTTTTTAATTGTAAGCTTTTCTTTATTAATTGTGTTTTTCAATGGTTGAAATGGGGATTTTGTAACATTTTATTTGAATTAAAAAAATACTTGCACAAAGTCGGCATGAAACAGACGTTTTATTGTGATTTACAGTTGAAGAATCAAATATTTACAGTTCAACAATATCAATTATATTATCAATTAGTTATTTTTGTGTTTTTTATCAAAGCGAATATTTTTCAAGACATTTTAACCAATAATTGTTATAACTAATTTATGTTGTCTTTGCTATGATGATAATATATTAATTTTAATAACTATTTTGCAAATACTAATATTCAGCTTAAAGGGCTATTTAAATGCTTGATTAGGTTAACTAGGCAAGTTATGTTAATTAGGCAAGTAATTGGACAACAGTGGTTTGTTTTGTATCCAATCAGAAAAAAAAAATCTTTAGGGGGCTGATAATAAATATTGATCGTATTTTTATTTACTTTTTTATATTTTATTCCAGCCAAACTAAAAGAAATAAGACAATAGAAATAATATGAAAATAGGAAATACTGTGAAAAAGTGCTAGGTTAACTTGCTAGGTTAAGGCTCACTTGGGAAATATTTGAAATGTCCAAAATAAAATTTTACCAGAAGGCTAATCATTTTGTTGTACAGAGACAGAAATCAGCGTGTGAGCATCCAGGTCAATGTACCATGAAAACACAGCACAATATTGCCTTCTACTGTTCATGATTTCTTCAAGCGAATAGGAAATAGCTGTGTATTTTGCAAGCTACTTCTTGCTGCTTCTATAGTCATCACATCAATATACAGAATTATTTTAAAACGTTTAAAGGAAAGTCTCTCATTCCCTGTCTCTTTTTATGTCCACATTCAATGGCGTGTTGAAACAGCTTCTGAAATTAGAAAATAATTTACGCCTAATTTTATACTTTGGGAATTGCTTGGATCATCAACATGATTGTACACGACGGGAAGAAAAGTAGTTTTAAGGGGGGAGGGATGGTTACAATACTTCATTAAAGGTCATGGGGGCACATGAATTTATTCATAATATTGAAGTGCACACATTAATCATCACATATGACGTGTGGAGCTGCACATCGATGGATTTGCTCTTCAGTGTTTGGACTTTCAGCAGTGAAAATTAAACCACACTAAACTGAACTTCAACTCTGAAAACTGGACTAACATTTTCAATTTACTAGAACTTCTATATTAAGCTGCTTTGACACAATCTACATTGTAATAGGGCTATAGAAATAAAGATGAATTGAATTGAACATATAACACTACACTAGAAATAATCGTTGTAAATTTTAACTTTATGACCACTTTAAAAGGCAAGATGATCTTGTTTGTTTGTGCTAATGGTTTGTATATGTACAGGAGGGTCTACAGGAGCTTAACAACACTGCTATCAGGCCACAAGTAAAGCCCTGGATCAGCAGCTTCCTGTCTGTCTCGCACAATATTGAAGAGGTATGTGATAACAATACCATACCTGCTATTTGACAGAGTGAAAGCACATGTCTTCACCATTGACAATAACAGCAATGGAAATATTAACAGTACCTTCAATCATAAAGTTTTGTGTTATTTTTTTTTATCTTAGGAAGAGTTTAGTGAGTATGAAGCCAATGATCCCTTTGTTCAGCAACTCATTGTCCAGTTGGAGCAGCTTATGGCTGAGTTTAAGGTATATAATGTTTAATACACACATCTATTCATAAACACACATGCATACAAACCCGTTTATTAAACGTTTCTCAATAGGTCGGACTGTCACCGGTCATCTATGATACTCTGACTAGCCTGATGACCAGCCTAATTGCAATGGAGATGGAGAAGACTGTGTTCAAATGCACCTTCAGCAGGGTAAGTGGGAACCAACCTGCGTATAACATCTTAATTGCTTGAAATCACAGACATTCTAACAGTCATCTTCATTCTTGCTTGTAGCTCGGTGGATTACAGTTTGATAAGGAGCTGCGGGCTTTGGTCGCATACTTGTCTTCCGTCACTTCTTGGACCATCCGGGATAAGTTTGCCCGACTCACACAGATGGCAACTATACTGAATCTAGAGAGGGTGTGTGACTTTTTTTGCTCTTTGAAAATGTTTTCCTCCATGGCACTGGTCGATGGCTATAAGGATCGTGTTTGATTATTCTTCCTTCAGGTGTCTGAGATCCTGGATTATTGGGGACCCAACTCTGGACCTTTGACGTGGCGTTTGACCCCGGCTGAGGTTCGCCAGGTCTTGGCTCTAAGGGTAGATTTCCGCAGTGAGGACATTAAAAGATTACGACTCTAACAAAAAAATATATATATATACTTGAGATTTTTATCCTTGGTGTTTGGAGTACTTAAATGGAGGTATGTTATCTCAACATTTGTATACAAAATATTGGCCATGCTTTTTTATGTAATAAATGTATAACCAGCCAAGTTTTTGGCTCAATTTCTGTCAGTGAACTATTCTAAAGCTTGTACTTTTCTTAAATTATCAGCCCTTAGAATTAAAGGGGCTATATATCATAGACTATGTTTAAGATTCGAAGATGTTCCTGATTAGTATTGAAAAGGTTTTAGTGTAAAGTACTAACAAATGGGTTTTGAGACTATAATGAAACATAACAAGATATTTTTAGAATTTCTAGTTTGCCATTGACTGTGAAAGTCTGTAGAGGGATTTTCATTTGAAGCAGTGTTTTTAATATATATAACAAATGGACATTTACACACTACGGTGATCCTTCTCTGACCTCTAAAGATTTACAGTCTTGTCATCTGTTCACAGGATGCCATTAGATTGCAAAGCATGTGCAAAAATACCCACATTGCTACAAATCCAATTCATTCTCTCAACAGTTTTATTACTTTCTTTCTTTTAAATTGAGCAACACATTTTATTAGGGCTGGGGGAAATAGTTAAAAAAGTTTCAACTTATTTTAGATTTAGTTATTATATTTAAAAAGCTTTAAATTATTTTCTCCATGTTTCAATAAAACGTCAATTAGAGTTTGCATGAATAATTTAGTATACAGCTATATGGCTCTTATTTTCTTTTTACTAATTCATCATATGTAAACTCCTGATCACTGTTCATTTTTAGAGCTGTCAGCAGTATTTTTATTAAATCTGTAGTCAATGAATCGAATCAAACTGAGTCAATTAGCAGTAGTGGAAAGAGGACTGAAAAATCATACTTAAGTAAAATTACCATTACTTGCCCAAATATGTAGTAAAAGTGTTTGTTGTAAATATTACTCAAAGTACTCCGTTTTCATGCAATTTGTAACATTGTAACATTCTGTAGTGCATTTAGGTATTGTCCAGCAGGCACGCAACGCCATAAGATATTAATATTAGGTTAGGTTGTGATGTCAGGTGACCAAAATTCAATGTCTAGCCAGCGTCCAAGGACAAAGTCATTTTGATGTCCAATAACAACGTCAAATGGTGTTAATATTTGGTTGATTTTAGGTGGTGTTAGAAAGGGACCAAAATCCAACATTGAGCCAACATCTTCCACACAACGTCAAGCTGTAACATCATTACACGTTGACATTTGGTTGATTTTGAGTTGGTTGTTGGACATTGACGTCGGCCTGACATTGAGTTCTGACGCCAACCCGATTTTCATTTTCAAACAAAATGCAGCGTCGCCACAACGTCATTCTGACATCATGTTGACGTCTTGTGCCTGCTGGGTGTTTTTTTACTGCCATTTTGTTTACATCATCATACAGTAAACATTTGTCATCTCCTCATCAGTGACATGCATCTAAACAGTCTTTGGGTCAATGCGTGTAAAGATTTTGGACATCTTGGACACTTTTAATGCTTCCACAATTTACTGCAATTATAATTATAAATCCCCCATGTCTTTAGATAGTTTGTTATGATGCGATTTACCTTCTATGTGCAATCTGGATCAGAACCCAGCCCTAATATTCTGTTTATATATATATATATATATATATATATATATATATATATATATATATATATATATATATATATATATATATTATTTATATATTGTTATTTTTTCCTTTTCTAGACAGAATGAAAATTAACCTTGACATGAGTATGCTGGGTCATTGAATTGCATTTTAATTGTGTGTGTGTGAGAGAGAGAGAGAGAGATGAGCAACAAGTTAATGGGTGGCTGCAGTTCACCTAACAGCCACCAGTGTTGCTAATAACAAAAACCCCAAAAGTAAAATGGTCCTTACCTTTAGAGATTTTTTTTCTGATAAAATTAAGAAGAATGTTTTTGACATATAGCCTTTGACTTCCATAATAGGATGGAAATACTAAAGTCAGTGGCTACTGGTTTCCAACATGCTTCAAAATATATTTAGTGTTCAAAAGAAGAAAGAAACCTCAAACATATTAAAACAAATGCTGGATTAGTAAATGATGACTTTTAAGAGTCAATATCATCTGCCCACAATATTTAAATGTTAGAATCATTGGTCAATTAGCTTCTATTTTACTGAAGACAATTCATAAATGTGATGGAAAATGTGCTACCACAAGAATAAAAACTAAAAGAAAAGTGTCTTACAAAAATATAACAATCATTGTTTGCTTAAATATCACACCAAAAAAAAAAAGAGTCTCACTCTCACGTGTCATATAGTTCAAAAGCAGTTTACTTCAAACCATTTACCTTTTCTAACTGCATTAACCTGCATGTATAGAAATAGTTCACCTGTGCCAGAAGCTCTGATGCACTCGGATATTAAAAACAAGGAAAGAAAAACCAAATGAGAAGCATTTGATTATTACGCACTAACATGAAGCAGTCTCTGTGTGCGCGCGCATGTTACATGGTCATGAAGTGTGGCAGAAGGCAAACCTCGAGTCTGCCGCCTTCCTCGCACAAACAAACAAACAAACAAACAAACAAACAAACAAACGACATTAAATATAAAATGAGTAGGACCCGTCCGCTGATCTCCCGTCAGTCTCCGTGTAGTGCTGTGCCTGACAGCTCGTGCTTCTGCGCTCAAACACGCACATACACACAGCTCATCTGCCCTATCCGAGTCCTGGAGGAAGTTTCAATGAGAACTACGATGATGCTCAATTGTCGTCGCACAGAAGCACAGACCGTCCTACGCGTCTCCAGTCCATCTTAGGTCCCGGTTGTTCGTCAGAGTTTCCTCTTGATGATGGTGTTGGCGCAGATCAGCCGTTCGCGCTCCTGCTCGCGCTGCCGCAGCTCGTCCTGCAGCCGTGCCTCGGTGACTCGCAGCTGCCGGATGGTGTTCTTCATCTCCTTCATTTTGATCTCCATCAGCGCGATTATGTCCCGCTGCTCGTTCAGCTTTCGCAGCAGCTCCGTGGACGTTGTGCCGGTGGTGAGCGAGTACGAATGATCCGCCCCGCACAGCGCGAAATCGGCCACGGAGCACGACTCGTGGACAGCGGACTCCTCTCCGCCGGACACCACCGCTGTGATGCACGAGCCGTCCCCGGACGACGTGAGGTCCACGGGCGCGATGTACTGGCCGTTCTGGCCGATCTGCACCACGGTGGTGTTTTCGATGTCCCCCTCCTCCTCGTCCTCCTCCAGCGGAGCGGTCTCGTTAGCGGTGGACACGACGCTGGTGATGATGGGCACGACCGCAGAAACCTTCCTGCTCCGGCCGCGTCTGCTCCGTCTCTCGTTCACCCCGCGCAGAGGGAAAAGCGTCGGGACGCGGATGGTGTAGGTCTTTCTGCCGCCGGGGAAGTGGACGCTGCAGACCCGGTGACCGGTGGTGGGCTGGAAAGTGCTAAAGCAGCCGCTCACCCCGGCCCGCGAAATGTTCTTCAGCCATATCTCTCGCTGAGTGGGATCCTTTGGAAAGGTGTAGAATCGCAGATCGCGGTCCCGGTGTGAGTTGTTGTAGCATCCGGGCACGCAGCAAGTGAAGCCGGGCATGATTGTGTAAAAGATGCACCAGTAATACTGCAGTGCCTTACAAGTGTACCTATTTTAGTTTTGTTTGGTTCCTTCGTGTGCTGTTATCCAGACCAGCGGCCTACAAGCGGAACTACACGTCCCACAATACTTACAACTTCCTGTTTTGGTTTCAAATGCTTGTCGATCTCGCGTCTGCGCAGATTGGCGCCTTTTGAGCACTTCACAGTGTAAAAAAACACCAGTGTCGCAATACTGTGTTTACGTCTTTAACGTGCACTGTGTGCATCAAAATGAGACGTGTTTATGCAATAAACCGAACTAGTTTTATCACCACATTGTGTTGATCAATGTAAAGTACGATGGTGTACCGTCCATCACCACTTCCAACGTTTAAATATAAAATGTAGAGTCTACCTTTTATACAGAATGACTCCAAAAAGCCAAACAAACAAACAAAACATAATTAATAACAATACATAAAGCATATAAAACATTAAAAGCATATCCTCGTGCTACTGTAATGTAACATTTACACGGGGGCCAGTTTAAAGAAATAGCACAGCTTACTTTGATACTGAGACTCAGTAAGTCTGGAATATAAACAAGACAGTCCATCTGTAATCATTCATTCATTCATTTTTTTGTCGGCTTTATTAATCTGGGGTTGCCATAGCGGAATGAACTGCCATCTTATCCAGCAAGTTTTTACACAGCAGATGCTCTTCCAGCTGCAACCCATTTCTGGGAAACATTCACACACGCACTCTCATACACTACGGACAATTTAGTCTACCCAATTTACCATTACCGCATGTCTTTGGACTGTGGGGGAAACCAGAGCACCCGGAGGAAACCCACCCGAAGGCAGGGAGAACATGCAAACTCCACACAGAAACGCCAACTGAGCCGAGGTTCAAACCAGCGACCTTCTTGCTGAGGCGACAGCACTACCTACTGCACCACTGCCTCGCCCCCATCTGTAATAGTTAATTAATAATAATAGTGAATAATGTCTCAGTCTTTTTCAGAGACTGAAAATAAGGACATCATGACACAAAAGCATGATCAACAGAGAAAAGCCACAAAGAAGTTATGACATATTCTTTAACAGCTGCACATAATGACATAACCCACAAAAGTATTATGTAGCCTTAGCCTATGATCATATGACAGACAGAGGGTCCAAAGCATCACTCAAAGGTCAAACTAAGGTGCTTATCTTCACGATAAGCCCCAAACACAGTGTAAATAAGCGTTTGTACATAAGATAAACAGAATGTTCTTTTAGAGATTAAAACCTTTTAAAGAAATGATAACATTAAATATTTAATTTTCCCTTAACTTTCTGTGATGTTTTGAATATTTGTAGCCACACTGCCGAAACATTTAAAATAATAACTGATTTGTATGATCATTTATTTTATTTTCAGCTTAGTCCCTTTATTAATCAGTGGTCGACACAGCGGAATGAACCGCTAACTAATCCAGCTGTGTTTTTATGCAGCTGCAACCCATCACTGGGAAACACCCATACTTACACTCTCGTTCACAAACAATTTTAGCTTACCCAATTCACCTGTACAGCATGTCTTTGGACTTGTGGGGAAAATCGCCACACGGGGAGAACATGCAAACTCCACACAGAAATGCCAGCCGACCCAGCCGAGGCTCAAACCAGCGTCCTTCTTGCTGTGAGGCGAGCCAACAGATACTTGTCAATATATATATACACACACACACACACACACACACACATATATATATATATATATATATATATATATATATATATATATATATATGTGTGTGTGTGTGTGTGTGTGTGTGTGTGTGTGTGTGTGTGTGTGTGTGTGTGTGTGTGTGTGTAAAATATTAGTATACTCTTGCAGATTTACTCACATTTGTGTTTATGAAAGTTTGCAAGTAAAAGAATATTAACTAGATGTATGTGGCATGCCGAAATGTGTTTCAAACTACTTTTTTTGCTCTGTTCTCAAACATGTCCTATATTTGTTTAGCAAAACAATACCTAACAGCGAAAACACGTGTTTGTGCCTCTAGCTGGAGGGACTGAATGGAATGTGAGAGTTCAACATATGGGCGTGGCAGAAAAAGAACACGACAGGGTGGCGCATGCGCAGTTTACCGAAAGTCTCGCATTGGAGATCAGCCTACACAGCAGTAGGCAAGAGCGCAGCAGCAGACACAACTGTAGGTTTGTAGATGGAACAACAACGCACTGTGATTTCAACACGGACCAAGAATATTCCGTACGTAAGGTTGAGAGGGCTTAAGGTGTGACGAGTTTGCCCAGTGTTTCCTCAAGCCGTTTGGTTGACATGAGAGCTCCGAGTCCTGTCTAGTGTTGATCAGAAAGGCAGGGAGGGAGGTGTCCGTCCACTATCCTCTGTTCATCATCATTCTCCACAGCACCAGCGCCATCGCATCCCGACCCGGAGCTTTGTGTTGCGGTAAGTAACCTCCTGTGGAGAAATACAAATAAAAGGCACTGAATTAGCACAAAGGTTAAAGCTCTGTATGGAGGAATATGTGTGTCTGTGACCGTGTGTGGTTCGGCTAAGCTACAACGTTTGTGTATTTGATAATAGACATATCTAGTTTTTGAAGTGTATCGGAATGGTTTATATTGCTTTTATAACAACAGGCATCCGATGCCATCATTAAACCTCCATCAGGGGAAGTGATGCTAACATTAGTATACCTTTAAAATGGCCCACACAATTGATATACTTGACATTTGTTTAGTAAAAGCACCATTATTTACTCCCCATGCCAGTTTTATTTCCCATTTCCAATTTCTCCATGTCAGTTTCTCAATACAGATATAAATAGAAACTACCTTGTGTTTAATCCATAGAGGAAATACAAGCATGCTTCTCATTTGCCTTTGCCGGGCAGGTGCACAGCCTTTGGGATGTAAATGAATTTGCAAACCAGCTGGCAGGTCAGCAGCAACCACAGACCTTGTATCTGACAGCTGTCACTCGTGCCACTGATAACAGAGGGGTCAAACAGCTTCTTATCTCTATTGTCTATTGATTGTGATAGCCCGGAGTGGCCTTGTGGTTAATTATAACAGAGCCTAGCATCTACATGTTTTCCATTCCATGCATACAGTTGTGTCTGGAGATAATTAAGCATCTCTGTTTAAATGTATATCTTTTCAACTAATTCATAAATTCTATCCATTTAAACATTTCCTTGGTGAATTTAAAAAAGGGTATTGTTGTAAATTGTTCTTTGTATTTGGAGCCTGCCTACATCTTTTGGCACTGTGGTTATGTTAAAAAGCTTTGGTATGATGCCTCTGTCTTAATAAAAACAAAAGGTACTCTTTCATTTTAATTTGCATTTTGAAAATGTAATTGTGGGGTATTTTAGTTCTGATAATCTGAATAATGAAGTTTTTGTTATTAATCTATTCATTTTGTTGACTAAGTTCATATTCATAAGGCAAGTTTATTTAAATAGCACATTTCGTACACAATGGTAATTCTTAGTGCTTTACATAAACTTTCATAAAAAAGATAAGTATAAGAAGATAAAAACGATTTAGACGAGAATTGGATCTGTACTTGAATACCATTTCAGTCCCATAACAAGAAAACAGTTAAAACTTTTAACATGTGCTTTATTTGATATTCTACTTTAATTTGCCTTTTTTCCTTTAAACTTTTTTATGTTATTTTTTTATAGTTTTTGCAGATATAGAAAAACAATGAACAGAAAGACAAACCCATCATAAAACAATAATCTGTGCAAAATGTAAAATAAAACATGAAACAAGGGAAAATGGCGACACACAGTATATGACCTGCAAAAAGACTCAGCAGTAGATGTACAGAGAGAGAGAAAAAACTTACAAATCTTCAGAAATTAAACAACACCATTAGTCTTTATGGGGTTTTAGAAAAAAGACTGAAGTTCCCAGAAGTAGTATACCTAATTCTTTCCAAATGTAAAGTGGAGGTGAGTCCAAGAAGCCAGTCAGAAAAGAGAGGCCTAATATTTTTCTTCCAGAAACAAAGAATAACTTTTTAGCTACGATCATGCCACACTGGACAGGTAACCGTACATTTTGGTCGAGAGTCTCTTGAATATCTGACCAGCCAAAAATTGCTATCATTGGGGTCAGGGAGTAAAACACAATTGTAAACCTTAGCAAAGAACTGAAATATTTCTAAACAAAAAATCTGAATTTGAACACAGGACCAAAAAAGATGTGCTAAGGTACTCTCAGCAGTTTAACACCTGTAGCATGTGGGGGAAACTGAAGGATACAATTGACTAAGCTTTGTTTTAGAATAGTGAACTTTGTGTGATACTTTGTACTGAAAAAGGTTGTGTCTAGAATTTAGAGAATAAACATGAATATTTGAATAAACAGATAAAAGACATTGATCCCAATCAGTCTCAGAGATTGAAATCCATAGGTCTTCCTCCCAAGTACTTTTTAAATGAAAATAAGAAAAATCTATTTTTTAAAGCATTAACAAATAAAGAGGTTATTCCCTTAGCATTTGGAGTGTTTAAAAATAAATCAAATAATTTGCCTTCTAAAGTTAAAACATCAAAATCTGGAATATTTAGACGAACATAGTTTCTGACCTAAAGGTACCTAAAGAAATAAGGAGGAGGGAGGTTGAATTTGAAAATGTTCAAAAAAGTTTGAAAATGAGGCAAAAATATTATTAATGTATAAATGTTTCAAATTTTATTTATGTCTTTTTTTCTTTCTCACTACCTTTCTCTTCGCCATACCATTATAATACTTCTTTAAAATTTGTCATTCTGTTGTTGTGCAAAAAGTAATATTTACATATTTTGAATTATACTTCTATTTTCATTGTAACTGCCTGTTATTGCAATAAAAAAACAATAGTGCGAAGTGTACAACAGTGCAATGAAGTGTAGAATTTTCAAAAAAAAAAAACGGTTTTACCCTGTTTCATAAGGAACTAAAAATACCTTTGTAATATTTAACATAGTGCAAATAGAAAGGCAATTAAAACAGTCCATTTGTGCACTATTAAAAAAAATGTTGATTAATGTAAAGGTCCTGCCTGCTTGTAATTGTAAGAATTTTATTTAATTATTTATACTCTTATTTATTTAATTTTTTATTATTGTTATTTATCTTCTATTACCCTGGCATTATATTGTTTGTTCTATTGTCATGTATCTGTTGAAATGTACTCCGTAAAAAATCCTGGTTGCCTTAGATTTTTAAGCCGAATTAAATTAACCTTATGAGTCCATTGAACTTATATTATGTTAACCTGACTTAAAACAGTTTGTGTAACTTATACAATTATGTTAGATCATTATTAACTTAGTTTAATAAGTTACAAAAAACTAAAAAACATGCTGTCATGACTAATTGATCAAATTATTTTTACAGTGTAATGTAATGTGTATTTATAAAGCGCATTTATGGTTTATGGCCTTACACCCAAAGTGCTTCACAGTCATGAGTTGGGGGGGGGTTCTGTTGTTTAAAGCATAATAATAATCATAATAATCTATCTGTTTAAATATTGGTGAACACTTTGTTCTAGTGTTCAACTCTTAAAACTCATTTATCCTCTATTGTTTTTAAGTTATAATGAGTGTCGTCTGAGTTTAGTACACGTTTCTCTGTTATAAGTGTTATTAATGATGTATCCTTTTAGTCTGTACAGCACTTTGGCCACATTTAAATGTGCTTTATAAATAAAATTGTATAAAAACAAATAAAAAACACTTTTTTTCTCTCTTTTTTTTCCCTCAGGCTGGGCATTTCTGATTTTCAGACTGTAATGAGAGACAGACTTGTGTTTAAGTGTCTTCTGTTGGAATAATGTTGCCAGGCGTGGGTGTGTTTGGGACAGGGCAGACAGTACGAGCCTTGGTGCCTTTACTCCAAAAGGAAGGCTTCCCTGTTCAGGCGGTCTGGGGTCGTACGCAAGAGGAAGCTGAATCACTAGCCAGCGAGTTGGACATTCCCTTTTCCACCAGTCAGACAGATGATGTGCTGCTTCATCCGGAGGTCCATCTTGTTTGCATACTGACACCGCCACCACACACGCGGCAGATTGCAGTTAAAGCTCTAGGTGAGATTCATTTTCTTTTGCTTGTTATCTTGATTGTCCATGTGGTCTCTCAGGGGATTGGGTTGGGTTCCTTCCTGAACTCAACTGGAGTGTTTACTGTGCTCATGTTTACTTTACAACTTGGCGCAGGCCACAGAGGGCTGATCAAATGTTACGTTCCCAGATCACAGGGAACACTTTAAGATTTGCTGATAAAGCTCTTGCTTTAAAAAGAAATGTGTTTGACAGAGTGTTTTCAGTTTTGATCACCATTGTGTACTCATTTTGTTTGTTGTCCCTTTGTTGGTAGGTATAGGTAAAAATGTGATCAGCGAGCAAGCCGCCACGCTGACGGATGCCTGCAAGATGGTGACAGCGGCTAGATATTACCCACAGCTTATGAGTATCATGGGAAATTCCTTGCGCTTCTTGCCTGCCTTTGTCCACATGAAACGTCTGCTTGGAGAGGGATATTGTGGGAGCTTGCAGGTGAGGGTTGTTCAAGAATCAAAACAATACAGATCTGTTTTTTCGGTACAATATAATGTGCATAAAATAGTGACTTTTGATAAGTTTTGAATCATAATTTACACCCACTTAAATGTTGTTGGTATTACAGTTGTTTTTATTTCATAGTTCCATAATTTGACATTTTATTCAGCTATCTGTCTTATTAATAAACTACATAAAACATTAAACTAGACACTTTCCCAAATGATGTTTAACAGAGCAAGGACATTTTCAAAGTATGTCTGATAATATTTTTTCTTCTGGAGAAAGTCTTATTTGTTTTATTTTGACTAGAGTAAAAGCAGTTTTTAATATTTAAAAAAAAACTTTAAGGTCAAAATTATTAGCCCATTTAAGCTATACTGCACAAACCATCATTATACAATAACTTGCCTAATTACTATAACCTGCCTAGTTCACCTTATTAACCTAGTTAAGTCTTTAAATGTCACTTTAAGCTGTATAGAAGTGTCTTGAAAAATATCTAGTCAAATATTATATAATAATATTATATTACACTCTATGTGGGCGGAGTAGTAGAATTGTTGTGTGTGTATATTTATATCTATCTATCTATCTTTCTATCTATCTATCTATCTATCTACACATATATTATGTCAAAACCAACTTTTATTTTTAGATGCAATTAATTGTGATTCGTTTTTGTTGTTTTGTTGTTGTCTTTTTTTGTAAAAATGCTTTTAATTCATTAACATTATTTTAAATTTATATACTAAAAAGGACAAGTCATTTATAATGTTAAGACTTTGTAATCAGTAAATTCCAAGAATACATTTGCATATATATGACCTTTCATGTAGTGTGTATTGAGGCTGTTTGTGAATGGAAATTATCTGCCAAGTTTTAAAGATCAAAGTCCAAGATAAACCGATTCATTGTCTCCCTAAAAAAAGATGCGATTTTATCTGATATGAGTCACCAGTATTTCCAGTCATTCTTCTGTAAGAAACGTGTGTGTGTGTGAGTTTATAACATCATGCTTTTAATTAAAGAACAAACCAAACTGTGAGGGAAGAGGTGATGCTGCAATGTGTGTTATGAGGAAATGATATTTTTATTTACTGTGAATAGATTTAAACTAAAGGCCGGCACGGTGCATCAGTGGTTAGCACTGTCACCTCACAGCAAGAATGTCACTAGTTTGAGTCCTGCCTAGGCCAGTTGGTTTTCTGTGTGGAGTTTGCAGGTTCTCCCCATGTTTATGTAAATAAACTAAATTGGCCATAGTGTATGAGTGAATGTGTGTGAATGATTGTGTATGTGCGTTTCCCAGTACTGGGTTGTGGCTGGAAGGGTATCAGCTGAGTGAAACATAAGCTGGAATAGTTGGCAGTTCATTCCGCTGTAGCGACCCCTTATTAATAAAGGGACTAAGCCAAAAAGAAAATGAATGAATGAATGGATGTAAACTTTTGAAGAAGATCTCCAAACCAAAATTAGGAATCTTTAAAGTAGGCCCACTTTAAAATCCAAAACTTTTAGACATCTTTTCTTTCTAAATATTGATATTTGCTTAACTCACACTTACAGTATGACAATATCAAACCCACTGCCTTAAAGCTTTTTCACCTTGTTTCCTCAAGGTATGTGAAGCACGTGTCTACGGTGGCTCTTTGCTCAGCCAGTCGTATGGATGGGCGTGGGAGGAGCTCATGGGTGGAGGTGGCCTGCATACAGTCGGCTCCTGCATCATTGACCTCCTCAGCCACCTCACAGGATGCCGGGCTGTGCGCGTGCATGGAATGCTCCGGACATTCGTACGTCAAGGTGGCCCAGCTGGAGGCATTCGTTCTGTAACCGCAGATGACTATGCGTGCTTTCAGCTGCTGATGAGCGGCGGCGCAGTCTGCAGCGTCACATTGAACTTCAATCTACCTGGCACAGATGTGCACGAGATCATGCTTGTGGGATCATCAGGACGACTCGTTGCTCGAGGAACAGAGCTGTTTGGCCAACGAATTAACATGCAAGCAGAGGAGCTACTTCTAAGTGATGGTGGAGAAGCCACAGGACCGTCGGTCAGAGGATTGAATAGCATGGTGACGCAGCTCAGACTCTCTTTCCAGGCACAGGAGGACAGGCGCTCTTGGGCACGGCATCCTGTTTCGATGGCAGCCTCGTTTGAGGATGGACTGTATGTACAGACAGTTGTGGATGCCATCAAACGCTCAAACCGCACTGGAGAGTGGGAGTCAGTGGAGGTCAAGATTCAGGAGGTTGACCCAAATCATAACCACAGAACCCTGCCAAACTAACACTACACACACTGTTACATTCTACATGTATACGATCTCAAGACCAGATGCCTATTAATGTCACTCAGCTTCTTTTACAAGTACTAAAGCCGTGCTTTCATTTTAAACACAGAGTGCGAAGGAAAATGCTTAATTTAAATGAATGTTTAAGCAAACTAACTGACATTTTAAGGAGTTGTAAACACTGGAGATGAGTCACTGGATAGGAATCCTCATTTCAGGGTTGTTTTAATGCAGTGTTTCTCAACCACGCTCCTGGAGGACCACCAGCTCTGCACATTTTTCATTCTCCTTAACCAAACACACCTGATTCAGATCATCAGCTCATTAGCAGGGACTGAAAGACCTGTAATGGGTGTGACAGACAAAGGAGACATCCAAAACATGCAGTGTTGGTGGTCTTCCAGGAACATGGTTGAGAAATAGTGTTTTAATGCTTATTTACTGTAAGAAAAAAAATGGATGTGTGAAGCTTAGCTGTGAATTTTATCAGTGCTTTCCCTGTTTTTATGCGAGTCACTGGGGTTTAATTGTGAGGCTGTTTTTACTTGAGTGGTAGATATAATAAGCTTATGTTTTGCTTGTTATTTTTTTCTGTATGTATGTACGATTTTTAAGGCACTGATGAACTTACTATGCTGGACACCAGATGTCATTTACTGTAATAAACCTCTCGTGACTTATAGACTTTTAACGGTTCTACAAAGCTGCACAAAAGTTTATTGAATTATATTTTTATTGCTAAACTTTTGTCTGTGCACTGTTTAAGTGAGAGTGATGGGTTTGTGTCTGAATGGTGCTTTATATTCATTGAAATATTATTAATAAATATTTACTTAATGTAGTTGAGCATTTTTTAATCTGAGTTTTACACAAATACCGGCTGAATAACAATAAATACTTACCTTGTATGATTTCAAATGTGGCTTTGACACGAATACGTGCTGGCCTTCGAAAGAGGGCGCCAAAGGTTCGTGTCTGCATGCTAATGTTGACCCTCGTTTGAAATTCTCGCGAGATTTACATTAGCTACATAGGAAAATCATTACTATGGGCCACTGACCTATCTAGTCTATACACTAGTCTATGTGGTATATTCTTTATTATAAATCAGTGGAAAGGACAAAAGCTGTATTATAGCATTTTTAAAAGAATCACAAACCTTTGATTATTCTGACAATATTTCATTATAATTTTTTAACGTACATTTGGTCATTATGTGCTGAATTTTAGGATTTATTAAATGTTTAAGAAAAGTAATAATGTACTCAACACGACCATATTTTATATAGAAATAACTCTTATAGGATAATAGTATGTTTAGTCGGTTGTTCTGTTTTATTGGTTGTTCATGCGAACATAAATCAGTATTCAATACGTCATATTTAATATTACTACGATTAAAACAATAAACAAAACAAATTAATGAAGCCAATAACAAAGTAGGTTAAATGTTTCATATCGTACAGTTTAACACTCCAGAACATAGGGAGTGTACAGGACAGCACAAAAATATAAAAACATATTATTAATGTCACTCACACAAAACAAAACGATGAATTGTTCACGACTCCCTTTTAAAACCTTTTACTCTGTGTTCAACAGACCGAAGCATCACTGACAGCGCGCATGCGCGAGAATTTCACTCAAAGAAGGTTACCATCCAGAATCAGGCAATCAGTCAGTCAGTATTCAAAGTCGACTCTTTCGAAAATGGCGACACGAAAGCGAAGTATAGTCTGGTCATTCTTCCAAGCGGAGGATGACAGGAGAGTATTGTGTCTTCTCTGTATGAAGACGGTTTTGTATTTTGGTCACACGACAAACATGCTTCGCCATTTACGAACGAAACACCCCTCTGATTTTTCCTCGCTGGACAAAAGGAAGCCCGCGACAGATGCGGTATCTAAACGCAACGACAGCGGTTGTGTGGAAGGTACGAGAGGCTACAGTACTGTACTCTTGCGTTTAACATGATGCACTCCATAATCTTTGACTGACAACTGGCTGGCTATGACACTTGCAAACCTGATGTGTTTTTGTCTTTAGCTTCTGGCGTTTTTTCCTTCCATTTGGCCTACTTTACACGTGCTTATATCTCACAAAAAGTGTGTTCAGGAGCCGATACAAATGCGCTTTATCGTTCAAAACAGTGCTCGTTGTGATTGTGTGATTCACTATCGACTCCTCGTTGAGAACGGGTTCGTCAGACAGAGTCTTTTGTCAAAGTGACGAGAGTTTCGCTTAGGCCATGGTTTTGGGTGGATGTCGCAACGACGCCATGTTGTTTTTTTAAACAAATGTCAAATTACATCGCTCAATGATAGAAGGCTGTTTTTGCATAATTTGCAGCATGTTAGGCGAAATTCTCCGACTGGAGTCGATTCGATTCGACTCGTTCAGTCAAACAAATGAATCTTTTGAATCGTGTCGCTGATTTGGATCAGCTATATACGGTGCTCTGAGTGAAAGAGCTTCCCCGCCCCCTCTCGTCCAGAATAACCAGGGCAGAAAGCCTTCGGTGTCAACCGCTAGCTGAATGAACTGTCAAATCTTCATATTCGGATGATCTATGGTTAGTAAGCTCTATGTAGTTTGTCTTTTCCTGAAATTTGAATTGTATTAAACTGTATTCGATCCGAAACCGTCACGTGATATACCATCTGCCAGTTTCCCGTATTGGCGCGTTTTTTAAATTATAAAACTAGCAAGCAGTTGGCTAGAGCTATTTGTTATGTATGTTTAAGAAAAATCACATTAAAATGTTTTGTAAAGGATGATCATGGAGGCAGCTGCTGTGTGTACAACACTTTTATTCACGTCAGTACTCCGCTTCCACGTAAAATTCCTACATTTGTTGGTTAGTAACGTCTGAATAGTCAATTTAATAATTGCTTTATTGACATGACAAATGTTGTAATGTATTGCCAAAGCATTTATAAAGTTTACATTAAAAAGAACATAGTATACAGTAAATAGTAGATTTAAAAAAGTATAGTCTTGAGTTCAAAATATTGTATTAGATTATTATATTAAAGGTGACTAGAATACACAATACTTGAATGGGGAAAAATGTCACTGTCAAAAGTGTGAATGAAGTCCCGCCTTCTAGTACAGGAGCCAATCAGCGGTAGCTTTATGACGAACAAAGCCCGCCTTCTAGTACAGGAATCAATCAGCGGTTGTTATAGATTGACAATTCTCCAGGGAAGGGTCTGACCTTCGTGAGTTTCTGCAGATTTTGTGTGATACAAACATCAAGAAATTAAACTTAATAGACAGTTGTTGTTTAATTTGAATGGTAATTCATATATGAAATGTAATTGTAAGTTTGGCGGGTAATTTTGGAGAATTTGATGTTTCCCCATTCAAACGGAATGCCTAGAGGCGTTTCAAAGATGGTCTCCGAGTGAAATGACTTGCTTAAAGAGACTTTGATCCACCTGTCAGCCTAATTTAAAAAAAAAACTATTTGTGTGATTTAAAAAAATCATTTTCAATTTCATCAAAATCATTCAGATCAGTCAGAGTAGAAGTGAGCAAACTGCATCAAAGGTATATTTGTCTCTGTCCACGCCCATGAAGCACCTTGAATGAGTCAGTCTCTCATTATGTTCTCAAGGGATGGTTCACCAAAAACTGAAAATCCTGTCATCATTTACTCTCCTTCTTGTCGTCTAAATGTGTTTAATTTCTGTCAAACACAAAAGAACATGCTTTAAAGGATGCTGGAAACCAGTCACGATTGACTTCCATAGTATTTGTTTTTCCTTCCATAGAAGTCAGTGTGCAAAGGGTTTCAGCTTTCTTCAAAATATATTCTTTTGTGTTCAACAGAACAAAGAAACTCGTAAAGGTTTGGAACCACTTGAGGTTGAGTAAATGATTAAAATTCTATTTTGGGACAAACTATTTCTTTAAGTGCACTGTTGTATGTACCTTTGTCTTTTTGTCTCATTTTCATTTATTTGCTTCACTTTTCTAACATTGTGACTCACTTCACATCTGATTATTTTGATTTATGTATTATAATAATTTTATTTAAAAAAAAATCCATATTGGAAAAATAAAAGACGCATTGCTGTAAAAGTGAACAGGCCCTAATGCACCCTACAGTGTTTCCAGGTTTAAGCCTTGCTAATTTACAGAATATCTGCAGGCGCTTAAGTCTTATTTTCAAAAGCACAATTTTAGTCATTAAAGTCTTAAATTCACTAAAACTGTGTGTTGTAGGTCTTAAAACATTTTAAACCAGTCTTAATTTTCATCTGTTTAAGTAAAGCTAGCCAATCAGTCCAATATCCATCCAATATTTTTTTGTATCAGAAATAGATACAATTAACAACAGTTGTCCAAATTTAATTCTCTAATCAGGGAAAAAAAACTAAAAACAATTACACAATTCCTCATGATAACAGAGCAATGTTTCCCTTTACATAATCATCCAGTTGATACAAAAATGATGTGCAGAAATAAGGGGAAGTAGACATGATATTTATAAATAGGCATGCAAAGGTTTTATAACAGAAATGCATTAGATTGACATTAAAATATTTGGCTAATAAAAAACATCAAATAGTATTAAAAGAGCAACAACAACCAGGCCATAAAAATAAAAATCCTTAGTTTTTAGCCCTGCAGAAGTCTAACATTTAATTCTAAATGTCTTAAAAGGGTCTTTAAAAGTCTTAAATTTGACTTGTTAACCTGCAGAAACCCTGAATTTAGGATTTGCATTAATTTAGAATACAAACTCAATATACCTGTTAATAACCACTTATTTATTCATACCTGATTGTTTAAGCTGTGTTCCTAATGATTCTTTAACAAATGAATCGCTGTCTAAACGTCTGAGATGAAAAGTTTAGGGCTGTGATGATTTTACAGCAGGTTATTGTACTGTTATCTGCAGGTTTATTGAGTTTATTATGGATTTAGCATATTCTGCTCAATGCAGTTCACAAGTGTGTCAAATGTTCACATTTAAATACCAGAAGTGTCTAATTCTCTCCTTTTCTGTGTGAAGTTACGGTGTTGATGGACGAGCAGCAGGTGGAGGTGGAGTCTGTGGGTGAAGATGGAGAAATGGATGGTGCCATCAAAGGGATCCTCCGTGCTGCAGCAGGGGAAGGTACGACTGAGGCAGAGGTGGTTGATGAGGAGGTCGAGGGGCCTGTTGATGAAGGAGATGGGAAAGACATACAGGAGGATGAAGCTCCGGGTAACACTCGTAAGTGGAGCTCTGTGTGGGTGCACTATCGAAAGCTTGGCCAGGAGCCGCGAGCACTGTGCTTGCTCTGCATGGAGAAGATCCAGCACCGGAGCAGCACGAGTAACCTTATCAGACATCTGCAGCACAAGCATCCCAATGAGTTCGCTCAGCTGGAGGATCACCCGCAGAAGCGGCCAAACAAGCGTAAATCTGACGATCCGACACGCCTCACTTCCTCTCCCACACTATCCAGTAACCCAACCAGATCACTTATTGTGTCGCCAAAGCGTGACATGCGAACACCCTGCAGTACCAGCCTAGACCGATACTCAGGTACGGTTTGCTTATCGGGAATGTGCATATTAACATTATTTATGTGAAAAGGATGTTGAGTCCAGCCTGATATATACTTCTGCGTCAAGTGATCTCGGTACCCCACGGTGCATACCTTGCACATGTCCTCCATCGCTGCGAGCATTCCTGCATTATGTCTGTGCTGCTCTGCATTTACACAGTACCACTGTGCCGAGTTTTTTTGCCAGCGTATGTGCTAGTGAGTTTAATCCTAATATCCATGTGATGCTACTGTAGAAGTAGCTCAAGCTCATGCTCGTTCAAGGAAGAAAGAGGCG